CAACCATGGCCAGAGAACTTTCAAAACAAGATTCAGAACGGTCGTGCGGGCTAAACTAGAGAACTGCAAATCACAATGGCAGTAGCGCAGAGACAGGCTTCACCAACACCCTCGCCGCAGCATTTACAATGCGATTCGCAGGCATTGATTGCCCTGGCTGTGCAAATCACAATGGCAGTAGCGCACAAACACACTCTGCCAACTTCCGTGCCGCAGCCATTACAATAGAAGGAGAAGACATCAGTGAAGACGCCGGAGCCCCTGAACTCAAAGAACTGGCCAACCCATTGCACAAACCTTCCTTCTTTGCCCATACATAGAATTGGGGTTGTCGATGCAGAACATCCCAATAGGTCTTTCCCTTGAATTGTCCAAGCTGAAACACATTGTCGAATCCCATGGGGCGCTCGACTGACGACGGAGTCACTCGGGCGCCTGAGTCGGACGATGTGGCATCATTTGCATGAACCATGGACGACTGTGCCTGCGACGGACGGAGACGTGAACCCTTACCGGATGCTCCTGATCGAAATGCCATCATGGCTGCATTGGTCTGCTCAGTAGATGTGGCTGCACCTACATAAAAAACCCTTCTTCATCATCTGATGATTCACTCTCATAGGCTAGGTTGGCAGTAGGCTTCGGGGGTTGTGGCTTGTTCGCAAACTTGCAACCGGGGTCACCGGCCCAATGTCCGATGCCTCCACAACGAAGACACTTTGACTTGGCCTTCAAGTCACGAAGCTTGGCGCGGCGTTGCCGGCGTTGCTCACTGCTCATCTGGCTGCGGACAACCGTGCCTTTGCCTTTACCTTTGAATCCTTTCTTGCCAAAACCTTTGCCTTTGCCTTTGGCCTTGCCGAATGCATTGAACGCAGCGAGCTGAAGCTGGATAGCTTCTCCTGCTTGACTATCATCGGCCTCTTCGAGGTCCAACATTGCGTTCAAGGCAATTGCTTCTTCTTCATCTTCAAGATAATCAAACTCTTGCTCCTGCACTTCTTCCCCTTCATCAAATCCATCTCCCAACCCGGCGTGGGAGTCGCCTTCATCGAAGTTGGTCTCAAAGGTTTCTTCCATGGTTTCCCATGCTGACGACGAATGCTCATCCACTTGAGGGTATGAGACATATGCAGAACGAAATGATTTGCCTTTTCCTGGATGGTTCGAATAGCTCTTGCCCTTCCCAGTCATAGGTGAAGAGCGGCCTTGCCATGTCTTGCCACCTTCTCTGCGGTGAACTCCTGAGTAGTGATCAACGAGAACCTTGCAATATCCTTCGAAGTTCTTGGGAGTGGCACACGCTTTGGTCACAAGGATCTCCTGACGCGACAAACCAGACAATTCGAGCAACAGTTCGGCGCGAAGACTGTCACTCAGCATCATGGTCGAATCCAATTCCTGCAGCACAGACCACCAACGCGTTGGTTGGTGTATACGACAGCATGGACTCTCCAGATTGGCGAGACAAAGGGCCTCCGTGCTTCTGGCCAGCACGGAACAACTCCTTCGCCTCCTGATTGGCACGTGGGAAAACGAAAGCCTTCATCTTTTGCAATAGGTCTTCCATTCCTTCCTCACTAGTCAGGGCATCAAGACCGACGTCCCTGGCGAGCAAAACGGCATCTCCACGCAAGCCTTCGAGGATCTTGTAAAAGATTGTGCTGATGTCTGGCCTGGTGATGACTACTTCCTCTTCTCCTTCTGGTTCGACAGGGGTGAAACCTGGGAGCTCAGCGTCCCCCTCAGTACCTCCATTGGGCATGTCACTCCTCTTTGGTGTTGTCGCTGGTGTGCTCTTTCTGGAATTGCTCTTATGTTTGCTGCCTTCTTTCCACAAGCGAATGCGAAGGCGGGTGCGAAATTCCCAGTCATGAAACGATGCGGCGCCACCATAGTAGATGTACGAACCAGATCTGCAGATTTGGTCTCCAAGTGAGTACCGCCTGCTGAATTCTTGTCGGGATTAAAGCGAAGTCCTGCGACCGACATTTCCTGTCTGTCTGGCCTCAACGGGCAATTTCAAGAACACTTGCTTGTAAATTCTCGGCACGAACATGCGCGAACGAATCCTGGATCGGCGGATTTACCCGAACCTGCTCCGCTACCAATCTGAATTTGGCCCCGACCGCGACGTCCAACGGCGTTTTCACGCAGGCGTAAGCGCGGGTAAGCTCAAGGGCCCTGTAAACCCAAATGGCAGCAGAATGTACCGTGGACAGAACTCGGCTGTACACAAGATACCAACAACAGGGAATATTCACAATAGTTTTGTGAAATGTACTGAGACTGCCTTGGCACTTGTTATGCTGCTGAAAGTGTTTGCTTCGCAAACATGTTTCCTAACCGGTGTGGGGCCTGGGGGAAGATGGGAAAAGGGAGACATGGTGTGACTGCGATTCCAACCCCTCGCCTTCCCATCACTCGGCCTTCCACCTGGTTTTCCCAGCTGTGGATTGCTTCCGCGAAATGCGCAGGACATCTTTGTAGCTGTCCTCACCGAGCGTTCAAATATTCAAACCATTTCTATATATAAACCTGTATGGCTGAGGAATGTTGTAGCCAAGGAATGCTGCTCATGTGACAAGCGACTGCAAAGAGTCTTGTACTTGCGCCTGCTTCGTTTTTAGCCAAGAATCCTGCGCACCATACGACCGGAGCATGTTGGAGATGATTCCGCGCGCCTTCGACTTTGTATGGACAGTCGGGTGCTTCAAGCAAGTGGCTGGCAAGCGTTTGGAGGGCCAAAGGAAGGTGCGAGCTGCGTCATGTCAGCGTGGATCTTGCAAGCTGAAAGCCACAAAATACCGTATTGAGGCGTCTTATGTATCACCTTTCAAATCCTTTCAAGTCAGTAGGCAGGTCGTCACAGTGTCATAAACCATATCACACTGCTCACGTTTCTAGTGCCGTGCCTACTGGGGCAGCTGTTTCTTTCAATCGACACACTCAAAAAAACAACGCGACAAATATATACAAATTTGGCAACCTGATGACCAGATCCTCCAAGAAATAGAGTAACGCGTTGGCCCTATCGGTTTGCTATACAAGGACCCCTAAAGACTTGGGCCATCTCGCTAAATAGTTGCTGGATTGAGCTGATGGTGGCGGTCTGCAGCGAGTCCACGTGCAGTCTCAAAGGATCGGCAGCGATGCAATGACGTTTTGTCAAGGAGGGAACACTATCGCATCGCACAACAGCGTCTATCAGAGTCTATCTGTGTTTGTCATGCTTTTGAAGCTGCGGTGACTTTGGATCCAATAGGTTTAGGTCGTGTTGTGTGGGCGATTTCGGTTGATCTATTTATATGTTATATTAAAATATATATAGTCGGCAATCCGTATGAGTTTGTGAAAGTCGTCCTCGCGAAGGTTGCCTGACAACAGTTCAATAAAGCCCTGACTTGCAAGAGTACAGCGTTCTAGGGTGATGCCAGCGTGCTTCTTTCTCAAGAGTTGTCGACTCATTGCGCGTAAAACATCCAAATAACCATCAAATGCGTCACACACCACATCGGCTAGGAACTACACACGTTGCTAAAGGTCGCCAAAAATTTCTGTAAACTGGAAACCATCACGGCCCACAACAAATACAGCGCATGTACCATACTGTAATGAGATCACCTGAGGCTACACAGATCTGTTCTGTGAGTGAATGGACCGGACCATCCACCCTTGTTGTGGCACCTCCCTTTGCTCTTCATTGTCTTCCGGCTGCCCGCGCTTGGCCAAGGACCTGAATGGCAACAATCCTAACTAGACATAACAAGACTGACTCAAACGGTGCTTCCTAATTTTACACTAGTGACTAGTGTGACAGGTATTCTGCGGTCCTGAAAAAGGCTGCACTTGGTTAGACCCGAAAATCTCACGTCCGACAAGCACCCTTCAAATGGCTCCCTGCAAAGCCCCCAGCAACGGAGTATCATTGCTCCGCGTGATCACGTTTGGGTCCGCATTCAGCCTGCCATGCAGGCAGTGTTGATTTAAGTTGAGCCCGTGCATAAAAAGCGATGATGTCGTGGTTGGGAGGTGTGCAAAGCTCGGAGAACCCTCAAGACTCTGCCCAGCAGTCTGCAACAGGTGTGCACCTGCTTTTGCTCAGATCCAACATGACACAAACCCACCTAAACTTGTGAAGTCTGGCTTTAGCCAACCATTGAAATTGTGATTTAAATATTGTCCAAACATGTTGCAGTTTTATTTAGAGTGGGTTCGCGCCATAATCGACGGCAACCAGATTGGATTTTAGTTCCTCACCCTAATAATCCGGCCCAACGAGCCTTGGTTACCACATTAGTGAAAGATACTAGGGTGGGGAAAGCGGTCTGAGGCAAGTCCTGAGATATCTGAGACATGAGATATCCGGAGATGCCAAAGAGAGAGAGAGAGAGAGAGAGAGAGAGAGAGAAAGAGAGAGAGAAAGAGAGAGAGAAAGAGAGAGAGAGAGAGGGAGGAACCCTGAGACAGTTGTGACACACATGTGGTGAGAGGGGCAAGTGGAACCCAAAGAAGGGTCAGGAGAGTGAATTCTGAAAATGTTAAAATACTTGAGGAGACGGGGGTGGACGAAAGGTAGCATGTCTGCGGCTGCTGGTTGCTGGTTGCTGCTGCTGCTGGTTGCTGCTGCTGCTGGTTGCTGGTTGTTGCTGCTGCTGGTTGCTGCTGCTGGTTGCTGCTGCTGCTGCTGCTGCTGGTTGCTGCTGCTGCTGGTGGTTGCTGCTGCTGCTGCTTGCTGCTGCTGGTTGCTGTTGCTGCTGGTTACTGCTGCTGCTGGTTGCTGCTGCTGCTGCTGGTTGCTGCTGCTGCTGGTTGCTGCTCATGCTGGTTGCTGCTGCTGCTCCTGCTGGTTGCTGCTGCTGTTTGGCTGTTGCTGTTGCTACTTCTTGCTGGTTGCTGCTGCTGCATTGCTGGTTTGCTGCTGCTGCTGCTGCTGGCTGCTTGTTTCTGCTCAGATCACTACCAAATTCTCCGCGGCGCAGGGTGGAGTCGAATGGGGCCCCCCCGACATTTAAAACCAACTCTTAAACGACCGAAATCAAGCACAGGAACTCGTGACCGCCCCCAATACATTGCTAAAGCAAGGCAACTCAGGTAGCGTAACCGCTACCTTTCGTGATAATCTGTAGGGTCCCATGTGTATCAGTATCAACAACTGGTGCCTGACGCTGGGCGTGTTGATGAAATAAGTTGTCGAGAAGATCATCTGACTCTCCCTCATCTCGATTCATGGCAAGTGGTCTCAGTCTAAGTGCTCCAAAGACGTACTACCACTACCCAATCTCGAGCCGCAGAAAGAACACCTCTCCACTGTCCCACAACCCTTTGCAACAAATTGGTGCCAAGTTGCCACTATGACTAACAAAGTCTCGGTTCAATTTCATTTCAAACATCTTCAACATACATATGACCTCTCTATTTAGGTTTCCTACACTTTTGAAGGTGCTGTTTCTCTCACCAATTCATTTAGCACTTATTTTATTTTGCAAACATATGCTAAAACAATCTTTTCATGTCTACCAGTCGTTCCCTCCTCACAGCTTCACAAACCTAAACCCAACATGGAAACAAAACCAAGAGGCATGTTGCAGCTGGCCATGGGCCATAGATTTGAAGCCTTCAAAATCTGTCACGACTGTCCAATGTCATGTCATGATGTTGTTCAATGTAGCAACATTATTAACTTCCCCTGACATATCTGCATAATCCTTGAAAAAATAGTCGGCTTGGCCAACGATTAAAGTTTTTACTATATAACATAAACCATGGTTCCAGGAACGAGCTTATACATGAACATGACACGCATGGCTCCAACCCTGAAAGCCTAGTTGTTGGACGTTGGTTCCTTGACTCCTTGCTCGCCTTGATCTTGAGACCAAACAAAAAGAACTGGTAATTACCAGTACTGTAGAGACGCTGTGCTTTCAAGATTAAGATTGTGTATACTGCAAAGTAAAGTCTAAGAGACGCATCAACCGGTTAGCCTGCTAGCACTTGTCTGTGTCTTCTGCTTGCGAATCTTTTGAGTCCACTCGGAACTGTCTAGAATCTGTGAATTAAAGGGTTTGCAAACAACAAAATATGTTATGTAGTTGAAGTTGGAAAGAACTTACAGTACATTTAGAACAAAACCTAGAAATGATTGCAGCTGGCCTAAAGTAGCTTTTTGCCGTTGCTGTTTTATTATGCCATTGTCTTGCTGGCACCAACGCCTGTCCCTGCTGCAGTTTTTGTGATGGCAGGTAGATATGCCATGCCTGGGGGTTGTTAGTTCTATTCTATTCCTGCTACCCTCCATGTGTTCTGGTCTTCACTAAACAGAAAAGACAACAGGTTTACGGAAAAACTAGAAAGGGATTTGTGAGGACTTGAAAGGAGCTCTCCCAGGTTATTTGGATTCATTTGGTAGCCTTTCCACGCGATCACCTCCACCTCCCAGCGGCATCCAAGGGACCTTTGATTTCATGCTGCTGGAAGTAAGTCGAGCATAGAATCAAGGAATATCAGCCCTTTGATGCATTCAGTTTACTTGGTTATCTGATTATTTATTTAAAACATGGCCCCTACCTTAGACCCCCCCTATCTCCACATACCTAGGAATAATTAGCAATTATTCCTGGGGCCTTGAACATAGTTTCAGGATAATTATTCCAGATGTGCACCTGATGCAGGAATATTTTCTGTCATTAGAAATATCAACTCGTGGAACAGATCCAAGACAGATCAACACAGGCTCGAAAAGCTTCGATAGTAGCTTCGATTATGTAAATTATTCCAGGGATAGTTGGCATGAAATTATTCCTCCTGAGTCTCAGCATCAAGAGACCCCCTTTAGGATTATTTAAATAAATATTCTACCGTCTAATTATTCCACAAAAAATATTCCACTATGTGACATGCCCCCCTGGAATAAATATTTAAGGGAGGGCCCATTTTAAAACTTAAGCTTCAATGTATTCAATACATGCCGGTTACCTACTTCGTTATAAAGCAAAACATCGAACGACACATTGTTTGGCGGACCTTTTGTTTCCGAGATTCTATGTTGGATCACCAAACGGTTATTGACTTGTAAACCAATCAGATGGTGGTGCTGCAATTGGCTGGGCTCCAAAGTCTTCGGTTTGTATTACATGTCGTGGTCTCTCGCTCTGACATCTTTGGCAAACACGTAGACATATCACTTTACTTGCATCTACACGGAGTCTACTCGCGACATACTCGCCACAGGATGAAAGCAGCTGGATAAAGCACACCTGCCAGAGTAGGTTCTTCAACCTCTAGGTTTGCTGTCAGCTTGGCCCGCTACGAGTGGGTTTGAATAGGCTTGGTTTGCACGTGAACTGATGCTTCATTTGTTTTCTTGCAATGCAGTGCACAGTCTGGTTTCGCTTGCCTGGCTTTGCTCGGAACGGCAAACAAATTGTCTAACTGTCTAATATATATATATAATCATACTGAATCATGCTTAACCGCAGTACCAGTACCATGTGCTCTCCACGTGCCAAAATTTTTGCATTGCTGATTGCCACGATGCTGAGTAAAGAACTAGCTACCTGAACACCCAGCAAACATATCACGCAACTACTCATACTTTCTTGCAATAGGGGAACGTACGGAAACGGCCCAAACACTTGCAGCATCAGCTGGGGTCGGACCAGGCTAGTCAGACTTTTAACTCATCAACTATCAACCCGAACCCAACATCAAACTGTTGCTGTAGAAGAACTGGACTGGTACACTGGTGTTTGCTTGGTCTGCACAGTCTATTGCCACCTGATTTCTTAAGTAACTTGCCTCGTGAAACCCACCAAAAGGAGGGATGGGAAGACTGCGGAACACACCGCTGGAAGACCAGGCAAACGTCCATACTTGTTTTAACCCTGATACTTGAGAATTCCTAGCAGTTTAGCCGTTTCTGAAGTTTAGCAAACCATCAAAAATGCCAGGTTGACTCTAGGAGCTTGAATGCCAAGGGCAAACAAGCATCTGCGCAAGCAATGCAGAGCGGGGTCCACTTAGCCGCGGCATCGTGTCAGATTTGTCTGCGCAAGGGCCCTAAAATTAATCGCCGTCAAATCAAAGCCTTTCCGACATTTAAATCAAATCTTATTGTTGAAAGGCCCAACATTGGTGGAAGGTGCATGACCAGGTGACACTACGTTGCCATGTTCAATGCCCCATGCAAAGAGGCCATATGAAAATCCAACGCAAGCACCACTGGCTGTGTCAAATTCTGAGTAGCGCGCCCCATCACTGCTGCGAGGTGTGTTGATGTCGATCGCTCCGAAGGCATTCCCCTCTTTGAGCGTTTTCTGCGGGCAAATCGATTCGTTTTCGAGAGGGCTCATGCCTTTCTTTTCGGGCAACAGGGATCCCGGTGCGTAATCTTTACGGGTGTGTGGATATTGTATGTATGGGTCGTGGGGAGTTGGTGCTGGGCGATGCGTGCTATCAAACCATATCAAAGTTACTCTTTACAAAAGGGTGCGGGTGCGACTCGATCCATGTGCAAACGGCAGTGAATGCATATCACGAAGCTCCGAGTCAATCTTGTACCTTGCCAACTCCGCAAGCGGATCAATCTCAATTGCTCTGGCGGGCCCACCAGAATTCTCCACGAGTTGCTGAAGTTCTCTCTATCAACCAGCTCACAAACCAAGTGAAGAGCCTGCCAGAGGCTCGGGCAAGTGCACAGGACTGCTGCGACTGCTTTGCTGGGCATTGCTACTACTTTCCAACGCACAGAGTAAAGATGAAGTCATGCAATATATACTGTAAGTATAACTATATGGACCCCGCCATGAACCAGAATGCATTTTCAAAAACGTGCTAAAAACGTGTTGTTAAGGGTTTTTATTAATTATACTCACGGGCTTACTTAAGACTGTGGCACGTTTGTGAAAAACGCAACGACTTATAAACGGTTTTACGTTTTTAAGAAGACAAATAGCAAAGCTAAAAGAAGACGTCTGTACAAAAGCCAACTATCCCCGTATTGGGTAAACATACTGGTGTGTGGCGTATGCATATTGGTGTGCAGAGCGCAGAGTTCTTTTGTATGGGCGTGAAATTTAGACCGAACGGTAGCATCCCACCCCACCCCACCCCACCCTCAGTCACTCGCATTGTGTACGTAGCGTAGCATAGAAGGGTTTCTTCTGTATGGGTGTGCAATTTGAACCGAACGTTAACATCCCAACCCACCCCACCCCACTCTCAGTCACCCGCATTGTGTACGTAGCGTAGCGTAGGGTAGAAGGGCTTCTTCTGTATGGGTGTGCAATTTGAGCCGAACGTTAACATCTCAACCCACCCCGCCCCAACCTCAGTCACTCGCATTGTGTACGTAGCGTAGCGAAAAAAGGTTCCTTCTGTATGGTCTGTATGGGTGTGCAAAATGAACAGAACGCAAACGCGCCATCTGACAAAAACCCTTGGAATCGTGGAACAGTTCTGAAGTCGAAGTTACAGTGTGTTTTAATCGACCGACGAAAACACGCGCAGTAAAGACGCGTATTTGCCGCGACCCAAAAACGCGCAAATGACGTATGAAAGTACGCGTGAGGTTAAAACACTCACATTCTTAAATAAAACCGTCTGGATATATATATATATATATACGCACGCTAAAAACAAACTACTTTAGCGCATTTGGACGGGAAACAAGAACCAAACTATGCGTTCCGGTATTGCTTTTTGGCTTTTGTGTTGTTGTTGTTGTCGTCGTCGTCGTGGTTGTTGTTGTTGTTTTCAAAGTACAGTTATTTTTGACTTCCTTTTTTTATCGACCAAAAAACATGAACCATTAAAACAAACAAAAGCAAACACAACCAAATAACTGAACCCTGACTTCCCAAATCTTTTGTTGTTTCGGTTTTGTCTTTTTTTGCGTCTATTTTACCAATGCCTTCACGCAAGGTCTATTCCACAGGTGGCACATTGGAAAGAGCAAATACTGAGTTCCTTCCGAGTTCATTGTGCTGGGAACAAAAAGTATAGCTGGTGGGGCCCGCGGTCGCATAGTGTGAATTCTGTTTTTTAATTCCTAATTATTGATGTCCCTGAAAGTTCCTACTGATTCCCTACTTTTCAATCCGTTTGAATTAAATGATTTCAATTTTATAGTCTTTTTGATTCCAATTGATTTCCAGTAAATTTCTTTTGATTCATCTTGATTCCTTTAATATTACAGAAATCAGTTTGGATTAGCCCACTACACTAGAAACCTTGAATAATACAACTTAACTTAACCCCCTAAGATAATGTCTGCCCAGTTTGGCTTATAACATCCCCTGCAATCACGTCTACACTATTCATTATTGATTATCTTTATGTGAGAAATCCCTTGTTAAAGTTCCTTTTGGCCATTAATTACCTATTGAATTCCTTTGATTTCCTGTTTAAATTCTTTACTCAATTTCTTTTAGCACCCTTGTTGTATCTGATCAAAAAATCGCAAGCAACTATTATTATTAGTATTAGACAAAGGGGTTAGCCCAGTACACTAGAAACCTTGAACAAGAAAACCCTACATTAATCTCTGTCCCTTTTCGCTTGAACAATCGCACCCCCTGGATTTATGTCTACGCTTTTCAATTTTTCAATAGTATTACTACCCCTCAAATATTGTCTGCACTTTGCTCGGGTATGACGTTTACGAAAAATGACGCCCCCTGCTATGATGTCAATGCTTTTCATTTTTCATTGCTTTATATACTTGTGAACTCTTATTGAAAATCCCTTGTGGCTTTTGTTAATTGCCTATTGAAATCCTTTTGGTTCTTATTGATTTCCTTTGAAATGGTGCTGATTTCTGTTGATTACCTTTTAAGGTCAAAGTCTTGTCAACCTATTGTAAAACAGACAATCTATTCACAACCATATATTTACACTAAACATCTTGAAACATGAAACATACTCAGCTAAAATAATGTCTGCCCTGTTTTGGCTTTAATAATAACATCACCGGCAATCACACCTACGCCTTCTATTCTTGAAATTCCTTGTGGGCGTTATTGATTACCTATTGAACTGAATTTGGTTTCTGTTGATATCCTTTGAACTCCTGTTGATTTAAACTGATTACGTTTTAACCTCTTTAGTTGATTTCTTTTTAGCTCCCTTATTAATATTATCAAAGTATTGCAAACGCATATATTCCACACAGGGGGTTAGCCCAGTACAGAAAAGCGGCTGACAAGCAGGAACAGGTAGAAGATCTGAAAAGCAGGACAAGGTATAGCGTAGGGGGTAATTGTAAATGGTCAATTATATGTATTTGTATACAAAAACGCGAGACCCGACGCCCACGCGCGCCTTTTTCTCACTGGTGGCCTTGAGCCAAATATCCGCACGCAAGTCTGTTCATGACCAGAAACCTTTTGGTTGACTGGTGATTCCCTAGCACGAGAGGGAAACAGTCCTGCGCTGCTCATGTGAAACCGGACCAGCATTCTAGGGTTACTGTTCCATGGTGCACTTCTTCTCCCCCTTCTTACTACGGCATGGCTTACCGAACTGCGGAGCTTGGCGTTGGATGCTTCAAGAAGTGATACCTAACAGGCCAAGTGCATGGCTCCAATGACAAGGAGGCAAATTCTTTGTCAGAGGATCGGCCCTTTGTTTGTCCGTGGCGATATACCCTATTCTGGCATCAGGTGACTCAAAGACTTCGTATAGGGAACCTAAGTCGAGACGATGAGTTTTAGATACATGACGAAGCTTCGGGCTGTATCCGGCTTCAATGATCTGCAAAACCGCTGCGTTATCCTGGTGACAGGCTAGCAGTGTGGGTCGGCAGGACAAAGTGTCACAGAGACCTTGAGCTGGAAGCCCTTCGCTGAATACCCCTGACGCAAGGGAGATTGTCTCCGCCTCCGTCGTTGACGGGCTGGTTGCCGTTTGCCGGCGACTTGCCCAACTTATGGGGTAGAAGGAGTTAGGGCCTTCGATGGCCATCAAGATGCCGGAGGTACTCTTCGTGTGTTCCATTCCCGAACAGTGGTCGCTGTCGGTGTATAGGCTGATGTGCAAGTTGTCCATAGAATCCTTTATCGACCCCTCTAGAACATAATTTTGTGTAGTTTATATAGGCCATGAGTCTGTACAAGCGCTTGTCGTCTACAACCGACCACTGGGCCACTGGGTCAACCTTTTGGTTAAGTCTCCAATGCTTTTCATAAGGTCTGGGCGACATAGCCTTGCCATCCACAGAATCTTCATTAGGATTCTTGCTGCGTTTTCAGCCAAAACCCCTTTTGTTTCCCAGTCGGTGTCCAACAGTGACCCGTCTGGAACATATGGAGTTGATGCTTTTGCAAGCTTCTGTTTTGAGAGAGCTTCATACGCTTCACATGAACTTTTTGCAAGATCTGCCAAAGAACACCTGATTGTTGTACCTTCTTCATTCCGGTTCACCTCATGTTTCCTTCCTAGAATGCGATCAACTGGAGTAGGTTCATCAAATTCTAGATGTTTAGCCAGCTCCTTCCAAAAGCCTTCATGTGCTTCTTGGGGCCCTGACAACAACATGTCGTCTACGTACAAAGTCATAGGCAGCTTTTCTTCGGGGAACCAATAGCTGCTCTGAAAGTCATCTAAATGAACACCATTCATAGAGCTCATTATTTCCTTAAACCTCTTACCCCAATGCCATCCACTTTCAGGATGCCCGTAGAGGGCCCTGACAAGGCGCACGCAAGGTCGCTCCAAATGAGAGTACTCTTTGGGAGTCAACTCTTTTGGCAGTTCGACCCAAGTGGGTACCTTAGTCTTGAGCAAGTATTGAGTATAGGCACGAGTCACGTCGCTGTGCGTGGTCTTATGACCGTGTAAAGCTCCATAAACGAGATTCAAGTTGATGCCTGCAAGTCCGGTTGGATTGACCTTTGCTTCCTGCAGCACTGCAAGTGTGTTATCTGCATCGCGAATATCATCCCCTCTAAACACTATTCTGGCCTTTAGTTTTCTAAGCTCTGGGGTTTCGAAGTTCTTCACTGATAAGATTGTCATTAGCTTACCGATGTTTATAGCTTCCCCCTTCGCCTTGGAACGTGCGACGAGATCATTTCTTGAGATCACTTCATCGAAAGACCATGCGTTATTTGCATTAATTCCACTAGCCTCTTTCTGAATTGCTTCTTCCCAGCCTGGGTGTTTGCGCCATTCATTCCTGTTCAAAAGCAAATGCACGGCGGCAAGAACTTCATCCGGTGAGAACTCCTCGCGCCCTACGGGTTCACTTTCAAGTTCAACTGGCATAGCTGGAACGTCGGCTTCAAATAGACTATAGGAAACGCATCGCGCCATAGGCATCGGATAGAATGCGCTCTTAGGCGTGGCGCTTCCTGCTATTGGAGCACGCTTGAACCCTTTTCATGCTTGCATTTGCACGCATTGAGGTTCTTTGCCAATTTCCAACAAGAAGTCACTATTCGCCATGTTTTGAGACGCGGAACATTGTTTTTGTCACTCATACCAAAAGCACATCCTTGCAGTTCTGACACAAACAAGCGATTTCGTTTCACAAATTGCAGTAACTCAGGAATTTTCATCCCTCAGCGCTCTTCGGCCACTCAAAAGCACAATGGCCACCATTTTGCATGATGACTTCTGCACACCTGATGTAGTTCCTAAGAATCCTAAGAGACTTTTTCCTATCCTTTTTCA